CTCAAAAAAAATCCCCAAACCTCAGTTGTCACATTAACTGATACATCCTTCAGCCAGAAGATGCTTCACATTGTTGTGGACCAGTGATTTCAAATGATGTATTTGGAAGAAAGTATTTGAGACGTTCTTTCCTTCCTTTACACTCCCATACCCAGTGTTTGATTGTGTTTTTGCTGGGATGCTCATCACTGGCCTCTTCTTAATTTAGGAATTAATACATTCGGGGTGGGGGGGGAGAGAGAGAGGGGAATGAGCTTACCTGTTTATTTTTTTTTTCTACAAGATGTCTGAACATCCATCCATTTCTCCTTTTCTCATTTTAATTTTGAGAGAGAAAATACAGTATTGGGGTGGCAACATACACTGTGAAGGGGTGGGATGAATGGGCTTTACAGCATCAACAACGTTAGCAACAGCTTTGACACTGCTTTTGTTTTTGCTGCCCAACTAGTAATAACTAAATTGCTAGCACTGCTGAGTTATTATCCCATTGAAAATTAGCAGGTAAATGAAACTTTCCTTTCAAAATTTCTTGCTCTACAAGTGGGAGAATACAGAGGAAGGTTTGTTTGCCATCCTTATGGCATACTGAGTTATTTGAGGGGGAAAGTGATGATAAAGTAGTGCGTTGTTAAATGAAAATTAATGTTAAATGGTAACATGAAGTTTCCAGTGTCTTGTGTTATGTGGATCTTTCTAAATTGCAGTAATTTAGAGGGTAAAATGAAATTTCCATGCTGAATATTATCCTTGTGTAAAATACCAGCCTGCTGGAAAAGTGAGAGTTGAGCTTGGATTCTGTGTAGTGAAAGATGATACTCAGTTTTATAGCGATACTTGAAATGGAAATGTTAGGGGTTTTATTTGCTGGTGTACTGAGTGATCTTTTCAGCCTGTCATGCTCTGAGTAATGCTGAGCTGTTTTTCAGCAAGTTAAAATTAAAGTTGTTTTAATGAGCCAAATTTTTTCTACATTATGTACGAGCATTTCTCTGGTACTATAAGTTATGAGATACTGTAAATTAGAGCTCAGAATGAGCAACTGGGCAATAGTTTCTTAGTTACCAAGGCAGTAAGGATGACGGACAACTGTCATTAGTGATTAACGTTCATTTAGTTTACTATATTTGTTCTATCCTTCTGACTTACACCGACAAATTTTGTTAAGCAGTATATTTCATCTATATTCAATATAATGATTGGATAACTTAAATATGGTGTTTTAATTTCTATGTTATGTTTATTCCCTTAAAGGGCCCAATCTGGCATAGTGCTGGGTGCTGTGAATGCCCTTTGAAATCAGTCCTTGTGGGAGTAGGCTTCAATGCTGTAATTACGCTAATTCTCCCATAGAGAATATGTGTTTTTCTTTGTGAGCCTGGAAGGTGAAATAAAAGGGGCATGAGGCTTTTTTTTTTTTTTTTTGGTAGTTTAAAAATAGTAAAAGA